AAGGCGACAGAAACCCATCCACCATGGAATTATCTTTTTGGCTAGTAGCCAAACAGAGGGGATTGTTGGCTCTGATCAGTCCATCCCCCTTTTGCGCCTGGCTCATTTGGTAATTTGCAGACAATATTGAGTACCTAAAAGTTATTCTTGTATTTATTTTTTATTTTTTTTATTTAAAAAGTGGAGGTTAAACCTCACTTTGTGTCCCATAAAGTTTCTTACAATTGTTGCCGCTAATAGAGGAGATATACATTCTCCGACCGATATTCAATATTTGCAAGATTCTGTGTATCACTGGCAACTTGTAGAAGACTTGGTGATTTTCAAAACAACTGCTTGTAATTACATAAGTTGTATTGTAGCTTTATACATTTGAAGCTTGTTGTCTGTAAAGGAAGGCCTATAATCTGAAATATAACCTCATCTAGGTCGTATGTAGTGATTATTAATATGTAGTTAGTATATTACATTTTTTTTTTTTTTTTGTAACTCAAACATTTACGGTTTCCTCCCCCTAGGTGCGCTCCCAGAGCACAGCAGCTGCAACAGCTGCCCAACCTGTACCAGAAAAGAGGTTGAAGAAGTTTTCCATTTATCGCTGGGATCCCGAGAAGCAAGGAGACAAGCCTCACATGCAGACCTATGAGGTTGATCTCAACACGTAAGTTATTACACTGAAGTTTTGTGTTTGTTTGAATTATCTTTTACTTATTACAGTATTGATATTTATGATGTGACTCTCTTCTTACCGATATATAATTTGAAAATTATTTTTTTAGAGCTAGATGACTTGCTTGATTTTTGTAAGTGCTGCAATCTAGTGATTTGATTGTGAAAAATAAATTACTGCTTCCAGCTGTGGTCCCATGATACTGGATGCTCTGCTAAAGATTAAGAACGAGATCGACCCTTCCCTGACCTTTAGAAGATCATGCCGAGAGGGAATCTGCGGATCTTGCTCCATGAACATTGGTGGTGTTAATACATTGGCCTGCATCAGGTATTTGAAATGTTCTTTCAGATGCACTGTTACCAGTTTCTTAACATTTATATCAAGTCAAGATTAAATATTTTGGGAACTGAAGCTAGACAATTTGAACATTTATAGTATCACAGCATGAATCATAATTTGCACTTACAATGGCACTCATCCCAACTTTCTCCACAGCAAAATCGATACAAACTTGAACAAGGCGACAAAGATCTACCCCCTTCCTCACATGTACGTCATTAAGGACCTGGTTCCTGACATGAATAATTTCTATGAACAGTATCGTTCAATTCAGCCCTGGTTACAGCGTGACGATGGTCTCAAACCAGGCGACCAGCAGTACCTGCAGTCTGTTGATGACCGCAAAAAGCTGGTAAGTTTATCATTAGTATATTTATAGATAACTATGGATTGATAGTGCTAACTGTTTGTACATTTATAGATATGAATTTACATTGCCTACATTGCATGTTACTGGATGTGATATTTTGATAAATGGAGTTTACCTTTTCGTCAATTTTGAATGCAAGTGTTTATAAGCATTAAAGTGTGTAGATCAGAAGATAGATAAATGTATATATAGATATTTTCCAATATTTGGAAATAATTCCCTGTCTCCTTTACCTATCAGGATGGTCTTTATGAGTGCATTCTTTGTGCTTGCTGTTCCACTTCCTGCCCATCATACTGGTGGAACGGAGACAAGTACCTTGGCCCAGCAGTCCTCATGCAAGCCTACCGATGGATCATTGACTCCAGGGATGAAATGTCTGAGGAACGTCTGAAGAGGCTACGTGATCCTTTCTCAGTTTACCGTTGCCACACCATCATGAACTGCACAAAGACATGCCCTAAGGTAATGGACTATGCACACGAATGAATGTGTACTGATCTGTACAAAGATATAACATCGCAACTATTTTAGTAAGGGAAACATTAAGCTGTAATACATCGTACTAAGTTGTTATTGTCATCAGCAAAAAAGACACAATTATAAGCATTGAAAGACGCAATTATATTGGAATTTATGGATAATTAATGATTACCAACAACTAAAAGCACATTTTGATTCTCCTTCAGGGATTGAACCCAGGACGAGCCATTGCAGAGGTGAAGAAGCTGCTATCAGGCATTGCCAAGAAGGGAGAACCTGGCCTGAACCCCATGGGAGCAAACTAAGAGTTGTGTAAATTCTGAGAACTGCATCACCAGTAAACTCCAAAGACATTCTGAGGAGCCACCATTGATACTACTCTCAGAAGTATTGACCAAGGAAGTCAAGTACAATTGCCTAATGAAGAAAAACATGGGTTCTCACAAACATGTCTTTAGTGGGAGTGATTGGTTTCATCAGATGGAATATTTATGAATTTGAGTGGAAAAGCAGAAAGACAGGCAATGTAGTTTTTTGAGATTAAGCACCAGTAGTCAGAATGAGAGATTTTGCACTATCTACCTAATTTATCCAGCCGCGACAGAAGTGCTTCAGCTACAGTTACTTAATCTCAGGTGGTCCTGTTCTGCTGTACAGTAAATGTGTATAGAGATAACTAATAATCAATGGTAACACTAAACACATGTATATGTGCAGGGTTCATGGATAAATGTGTAGATATTTTTCCCCTGAAAATAATTCATGTACATAACCATTTCAGAATTTTTCATTTTCTCTATGAAATAATGAATCTGCTGTATCACCCATACAAATAAAGGGTTTGAAGGGATTTACTTTATTTTCTTGTATTAGTCCAGTTTTGTGATAGTGCACAAGGAAAGAGTGAATGTTAAGTGTCAATGAGAGATGGTCTGTAATTATCAGGTTAAAATAAATATTTAAGCTTTATGTACTGTATAGCTATCCCCCAGAAGCTGTTTTTTTGAATTATCATAACTGCTGATTCTTCATCAAAAACACTTTTCCATACAAAGAAAATCATTTTCATCCTAAGATACATAAACAAAATCATAGCCATAGGTAATCATATGACCATCTTTACATTGTCCTTGCCACATTCTATGAATTCTAGTCATTCTGAAAGTTGCTCACAGGTTATTTATAGATGTAAACATACAAATGAATGTTAATTTTTCTTGGCCCTTTGTGATTAAGAAAATCAAATGGGTAATATGTTCACACATGGCTAGCTTCAAAAGAAATCAAAACATTTGAAAGCTACATATCAGTTTGGAGTGTGGGTGAAAATCACCTTTTTTATGCTAGTTTTGTGCCCAATAATTTTGTATTTAATGTAGTCTAGTAAGTTTTCATTGCTTGATTTATAATTACCTGCATCAATTATGAAACATATACAATGGATTTAATTTTATGGTTCATGGTAATGAATTCAGTCTGCATTTGAAAACAAAATTCAAACATCACAAATCTAAGGAAGCTTTTTTTTTTTTTTCTATTGGGTGTTGGATAATACATAACATTTTTATTACATTATTATTGAACAGCGACTGAAGATATTTAAATTTTATGATAATTGAAATAACTTCTCTGGGATAGATGGTAAGATGAATAAATATATTGGAATTTGACTTTTCTTGAGATAAGCTTCTTAGGAAAGTGTAAGAGTAATATTTCCCATTAAGAAATATCAGTGAATGAGTGAATGATGATTGAAAGAATGCAAAATTTGATGCATTATGTTTATCATGGCTGTTAAGTAACAGATTTTGCTGTTAGAACATGTTGATACAAAATGTGATAATTATGAGACAGAGAAAGTGTCTTGCATCCATCATTATCAATGTAGAGATCTTTCACTAACTGAAATTGAGAGTATTGTACTATTTTTGCATTTCTTGTTGCAATTGGCAGAGTTTTCATGTCCTTTAATGACAAGTGCCTTATTATATAATATCAGTTCACACACTAGTCCTTGTGCTTTGTTATGGAAGTTTGAGCAATTAATTTACTAATTAAGGCCAGACCAAATAACATATATCTTCATAGTATGTACTCGTCAGTATTTTTTGTCAGAAATCTCCCATTATATAATATTTTTTTCTCTTTGACTACAAACATGCATAGCAATAACTTATTGAAAGTATTTTATAGATTATGATGCAGCATAATATCAGAATATTTAATGATTATTTTTACCAGGTGTCTTTTCCTCTTGCTGAATGTACTGTGCATACACAAAAGTAGGTTACATAGTGACAGACTTCTCTTGTGTGTTTGTAGACTAGCAAGTAAAATGACCCTTTTGGAAGTGGAGTCATTTCACCAGAATGACTAAGAATGTAACAGCTACTTATGGACCATTTTGGACACTAGTTTCAGGCCTACCTCTAACTTCAGTCTGGGTCTGAATGGACATCATGTAGACAATACAAGTGTGCCTGCTGTCTGTGCATGGTGTTAATTCTAGACTAGCAAGGACTGCTTGATCATCAAGGCAGGGCTTTGGTCACTACAAAGGTTATAAACACACTGAACTTTACGTATATGGCAAAAACTCCTTAGGGAAAATCCACACAAATTTGGCACCGAGCAAAAATAGACAAGTAATACCTCAAAACTGTCCTTACTATTTTACTAAGATTTTTAAAAATAATTTGAAGTACTATGACATCTGGTAGACTTTATTCCGAGAAAATTGTTCAATTAAGAGATATACTTAGAAAATTGTTCAATTAAGAGAACTTTAAGGGGGTAAAAATTATATACATATTGTTTAACTATATATCTATACAAACACTCACCGGAGAACTTTTCTTTATAATTTACTGGTATTTTGAGTGTCAAATTCTTTATTATACTCAGGTAAAATCCATCCATCAAAGACAATATAGCTCTCACTTTAATGTATACACAGTTTGAGTTCAGTTAATGTACACATACTTGGATTTTATTTTGAATATTTAAATTCTGTGCAATAAACTATTCTACTTGGCAAGGCAACCAAACAGTGCATTGGCAAATGATAAAAAATATTACTATCTTTCCCATTTTCAATCTCAAAAAAAAAACAAACAGGATAACAAAAACAAAATATTTTCACATCAACTTTACTATATACATCATCTCAATAAAAAAAGGTAAATAACAAACATGAGTTTAATGATGACGTGAGTAATGCAGAAAAACTCAGTTCTATGACATGAAATATGCTGCAGGTCTTTATTTTAATGCTAAATGTTGGTCAATATACATTTCAGGAAAATAATATTCAACATGAACCTAGCTGCTTTAACATAGGTCCTCTCTACAAACTTAATTACAATGTGTACAATAAAAGAAAAAAAAATATAACCCCACTGGAATAAACATGTTCCACGCGATGATAACAATTAACCCCAAAAATAACAGACAGCAGTTCTCTTTCCATCCCCTAGAAGACTGTGTCAGGAAAGTCTTGTACTCTGCCTTCACTTGCACCTACATGCTTCATCCCATACGGATCAGTCACTCTTTTCGGGCTTGTAGAACTGACGGCACCTTTCCTCAAAGACCTTTAAACTGCGTTCTCTAACGATCTCCTCAATGGTTAATTCATTCTGCAGTTCTCGGATCTGGGGGAGGGGGAAGTTATATATATATTTTTTTTTTCTTTTCTTAGCTTAATCCATCCCACATGTGATGTAGTACCAATTTTAATTTATGTGTGTGTGTATGTATATATATATATATATATATATATATATATATATATATATATATATATATATATATATATATATATATATATATATATATATATATATAAAATAAATTTATTAAAAATAACATATAACTAAAATCTGATCACATAAACCATAAAAAATCAATAAAACAAAAAATGCAGTCAAGACAAAATATTAAAAGCAAAAAATAACACAGCAAAAGGAAGAACGCAACTATAACAAAACCCAAACAACTGACCCTGCTCTGCTCACTACGCAGATTTCTCATGAACTTGGCATCATCCCTTTTGCCTGCCATATCCTCTCTCATCTGGCGAACGCGTTCTCGAGCTTCAGTCATGCAGTGTTCAATTAGCGCTCCTCTCCGCTGGTATGTGTTATCCAACTGTAGATTAAAGTAATGACAAAATGAGCTCCATGTACTATAATGAAAACAAAACCAATGATTCTAATAATGATGATGGTGTTGGCAGTGGTGGTGGTGATTGACTAATGATGATAATGATGATACATGAGAATACCAAATGAATAACCTGTAGTAATTCCTTGAATTCCTCTCTCCTTACAAGGTACCGTTACAGTATTTAAATGGGATATCTCAAAAGATAACTTATCTTATATTCTGCTCTACTCATCAACTTTGGTAAAATTACAAACATTAAAACAAAGACCTAATCATATATGATACTCAGTGTTACAAAACTGCTTAAAAAAAAGGCTTTCTAAAGTATATTTAAGAGAAAAAAATGTCAATTCTTACACTACGGTAAGAATATCAAGTCAAATTCTAAAAAATGGTAATGAATTATAATGGCACCAAAGAAACAAAGATTCAATGAAAAATGGGAAATATAAAACTCCATCTAAGACTTCAGTAGCCTTAACTTTTCCATAGAAGAAAAGGAGAAAGCTACTGATTTTACAAGGTGTCAATAGAATGTCTAATATAAATTAACATAGTTGAATTAATCTACAAAATTTGTCTTTGTCTACTTGCATACCTGCCCCTACATATCCATTCATACATAAACTAAAATGGATTCACATACCATTGGCAACCATTCATTTTTTAATTATTATAAATTTCAGAAATTACTTAATAGTAATAACACACTGAAGATTTTGTTACTACCTGCTCTGCCAAAAACACCAACAAGGACCAGGATATAATAATTGAAATTATCTATCAAAAGATCAACCCATGTCCATATGAAATCTCTTAACAAGAATTCAGTAAAATAACAGATGACTACCTATTCATTCATAGGCAGAAAACTAAATTTACAAACCAGTTCTTCCAACATACACAAAACAATAATCCTTTCCCATTCAGTCCATAATGAAATTTACTATAAGACCAAACTACAAAAATTGGTTGCTTCTTGGATACTTCACTGCTATAAAATGAAGCTGTACTAAGCAAGTTTTTTTTTCTTCAACTAAACAGTTTAATCTATTATGATTGGACTGCCTGGGGCACAATTCTGCAGCAAGTAAGCTTTACCGAGTGCAAACTGCATAAAGGGATAAATTGTAATATATCCAAGATGAAATAACCATGTATGAAGATTATTACCCTACAATGAAAACATGGTAAATATTATTTTAGCATTCATACATTCCAAGAGGTGCCCAATCGTATGTGTCTAGCCATATCTCAAATAACCAAAAAATTAAATATATATTTATCAAAGCCAAAACAGATCCTTTTTAAAGTCGGGGTCAGAAGATCGAAGAACAAGGGAGCCGCCCTGCGACAGAACACACAGGGAAACATCTTGTCCTCCTTACCACATCACAGAAGTTCACTCACAATCTAAAATGAAAGGAGAAATATGAAATCATGAATTAACTTTTCGTCTTGCTGCTGT